TGTATGCGAAGCGACCTTTGTGTACGTAGATTCTATATATGCAACTATGGCACTTGTGCTTCACTCTTGATTTCATTAGTTAGTCTTGCAAACGTAGGTTCCATGTATGCGAATGTGACCTTTGCAAATATAGATTCCACGCATGCATCTATGACTCTTTTGCTTCCATTCTTGACTTCATGAGTTAGACTTGCAAATATAGGTTCCATGTATGCAAATGTGACCTTTGCGTATATAGATTCCACATATGCATCTATAGCTCTTTTGCTTCCATTCATGACTTCATAAGTTAGACTTGCAAATGTAGGTTCCATGTATGCGAATGTGACCTTGCGTATATAGATTCCACATATGCAACTATGCTCCTTTTCATCTCTAATTGTCTCTTTCCATAAGCCCATATGTATATTCCACATTTGCGAATATGAAGATGATGTGTGCAATTGTGGTTTTGCTTCATTCTCTTGTCTTTTAGCCTCTTTCCTTCTTTTTCATAATTTCTTCTTCTTACAAGATTTGTTAGAAAATATGCGAGGATAGGATATTATTATTTATATTTTATTTTAGAAACTTATTTTTTACATATGAAATTACATGAATAATTTATATCCATCTGTATTGTTTCCAAAGTCACCCTTATACTCTCTTTCTCCTCGTGTTTTTGGGGAGTACATGTTTTATTCACAACTTAGCTCCCGGAAAAGATAAGCTAGCTCCTAAGTGTGTCTTCCTTGGTTATTCTCGGGTTCAAAAGAAGTATCGCTGCTACTCACCTGATATTTGTAGGTATCTTATATGTTATTTTTGAGTCTCAACCTTACTTTACTTCTTCTGATCATCTTAATATATTTGAAGTCTTACCAGTACCTACTTGTGAGGAATCTACATCCACAAAACCAACACAACCACTACTACCTATATAGACTTTTGAGGAGTCTACAGTTGCTCCTCCTACATCCCCGGCCACAAGGCCACCACTCTTGACTTATCATCATCGTCCACGTCCAGCATCACGCCCAGATGATTCACGTCTTGCATGCAATTACTGCAGACTTGTTTCCTCCTAGTCCACCAATTGCACTCCGAAAAGGTGTACGGTCTATACTTAGGGGTCGTTTTGTATGAGGTATAAGAATAACGCTGAATAGAGCGTATTAGTAAGGTTGGGATTAATTATGCTGAGATTACTTCTTATCAACTATTTTTGGTGTATTAAGGCACTGCAAAAAATTGATTGTTTACAAAAACACTCCCCACATTCTTTAACTTTGTACATTATGTTTATTGCAACAGTTTTATTACCCTCCACATTTTTTACTCTCTTTAAAGCCAATTGTTTTTTTTTACAGGGGAGCAAATAGTGGGTTCTTTTACACTATTCCATTTGTTAATATTATTATTAATCTTTAGTATATAGTTTTTTCAGAAAATATTTTTCATTTACTAAACAAACACAAGATATTTTTAAATATTTTCCGTCAGTATTAAAATAGTAAACTGAAACAACGATCATGTGAAGTCAACATGTCAATTACAAAATATAGCAGAAAGTATTTGGAATAGGTTTTAAGGGATTTGAGGGGCAATTATGTCTTTAACCATGTTTATGCAACTATTAAAAACCCTTGCATTGCTAATACCATGGTTTGCTATGTATTAGTTATACATAAGATAATACCAAATAGGATGTATAACTAATACAAGTATTAGTTATACATAGGTTGAGAAAATGTATCAAACGAGGGATTAGTAATGCATAAAGCTAATGCTTGCATTGTTTTTTCTAATACCTCCTACCAAACAACCCCTTAATCCTAATCCCCATTATGTCGGTTTAAGTTATCATTGCCTGTCATCACCCCATTACGCTTTTGTATCATCTTTGTCCACTATTTCCATCCCTAAATCTACATGTGAGGCACTATCTCATCCAGGATGGCAACGGGTTATGGTTGACGAGATGTCTACTTTAGATGCGAGTGGTACTTGGAAGCTTGCTCCTCTTCTTTCAGGTAAATCTATTGTTGGTTGTCATTGGGTTTATACAGTCAAAGTCGGCCCGGGTGGCTAAGTTGATCGGCTTAAGGCTCGTCTTGTTGCAAAAGTATACACTCAGATATTTGGGATGGATTATAGTAACACTTTCTCTCTCGTGGCTAAAGTAGCATCCGTTCGCCTCTCTTTGTCCATGGCTGATGTTCATCATTGGCCTCTTTATTAGTTAGACATTACGAATGTTTTTCTCCACGGTGATCTTGAGGAAGAAGTTTATATGGAGCAGCCACCTGGTATTGTTGCTGAGGGGGAGTCTAGTGGTCTTATATGCCGATTGCGCAGGTCACTCCATGGTTTGAAATAGTTTTCTCGAACTTGGTTTGGTAAGTTCAACGCAGTTATTCAGGAGTTCGGCATGACTCGTAGTGAAGTTGATCACTCTGTGTTTTATCGGTATTCGGCTCTTAATCTGTGTATTTATCTGGTGGTTTATGTTGATAATATTGTTATTACTTGTAATAATCAGGATGGTATTACTAATCTGAAGCAGCATCTCTTTCATCACTTCCAGACTAAGGATCTGGGCAGATTAAAGTATTTTTTAGGTATTGAGGTTGCTTAGTCTAGCTTAGGTATTGTTATTTCACAGCGTAAGTATGCCTTAGACATTATTGAGGAGACAGGAATAATAGGCTGCACACCTGTTGACACTCATATGGATTCGAATGCTAAGCTTCTGCTAGGACAGGGGGGGCCTCTTAGCGATCTTGGAAATATAGGCGGTTGGTTGGAAAATTGAATTACCTCATAGTGATTAGACCTGACATTTCTTTTCGTGTGAATATTGCAAGTCAGTTTATGGATTCTCCATGTAATAGTCACTAAGACACAATTGTTCGCATTCTTTGGTATATAAAGTCAGCTCCAGGTAAAGGATTACTATTCGAGGATCGAGGCCATGAGCAGATTGTTGGGTACGCAGATGTTGATTGGGTAGGATCACCTTCTGATAGACGTTTTACGTTTGAATATTATGTTCTAGTAAGAGGTAATTTGGTCTCTTGGAAAAGCAAGAAACAAAATGTAGTTGCTCGATCCAGCGCAAAAGCAGAATATCGAGCCATGGCAAAATGTGAGCTAGTTTGGATCAAGCAGTTGCTTAAAGAATTGAAGTTCGGAGAAATTAGCTAGATAGAACAGTATGTGATAATCAAGTTGCTCATCATATTGCGTCAAATCTGGTATTCCCTGAGAGGACGGAGAAAAGATACTCTCAGCAGATATTGTTATAAAGTTTGTGAAGTCGAATGATCATCTTGCAGATTATTTTCACCAAGTCCCTTACTGGTTCTCGTATTGGTTACATCTGTAACAAGCTCGGTACATATGATTTATATGCACCGGCTTGAGGGAGAGTGCTAGATAGTTAATAATGTATAATGTCTCACATCGGAAAACAAATATCTATTAATATGTAATCTATATAAATAGGGTATTGTAAAACACTTTAGACATAATTAATGAAACTTTTCTGTGCTACTTCTCACAATTCCTTTCCTAGTTAATGGTTTGTTACTTATTTTTCTCATTTACCTTTCTTTCTTCATTTAGAGATATATCTTTTAGGAAACGACCATTATTAAAAATGGACATTATGTCTAACTTAACCCCAAAAGTTAACTCATTAGATGAGGATTGCCCAACACCATATGAGGCGACAACAACTCATATCCAAAAATAATGTGGGATTCTAACTCCTTTCACGCGTCCAGAACTAGACATTTGGAGGATGGACAACATAACATGAGGACCATAAAATTGGGTAAACCAAGAATAGAGATGGGTTTGGCTCTAAAAAACATGTTAAGAAAATGTGCCAAACTTAACTGCAAAACTAGCTCATGAAGTAAGCATTGCCAAATCCATATAAGGAGACAATAACTCATACCCTCAACCATTGTGGTACTCGAACACAAAAGCAACATATTTTTATTTTCAGCCCTACCTTTTCTTTCTCTCTTTTAAATTGCATAAGGATAGTATACCTACTTTTAGCTTCTCTAAGCTGTTCAAACATATCTTTGAGGCTATTGTTTGGTCAATGATGAACCAAGCTCTTACCTTGCTTTCCCAAAAACTTATTAATATTCCTGACTGAGGATATATCTTCAGTTCGGTATACTGGATAAACTACAGAAATGTTTCCTTGAGTGAATTTTCTATGAATCCCCTGAATAGTGAAGAGTATAGATAACCCCAACTATTGGGATTAAAGTATCGTTGACTCACATGAATTTTGTTATGCTAAAAGGATTCAGAGAATAAGAAGGAATATGAAAGAGAGCCTTGTACCCGTCGTAGCCATTTGGTAAATCATATCCTGCTGTTTTGCCTGCCTCACCAAATGCATCCCTCCAACATTGCACCTTCTCCAAATCATCTCTCAAATTTTCCTCATGTCTAGAAAATGATTCAGCAAAAGTTCCACTTTGCTTACTCACATCCGATGGATCTACGTCATAGAATATGGGCATCACAGTTAGTCCTAATTCTTTCTTGCATTTCATGATCTTTACAAGTTCATCCAAGCACCAAGTGGAGGATGCATAGTTCTTAGAAAATACAACAATAGCAAATCTTGATTGTTCAATAGCTTTCACAAGTTCAGGTGAAATGGACTTTCCTCTCTCCAGCCTTACATCATCTTTGAAAGTATGAATCCCTTTATGTTTTAGAGCATAGTAGAGATGACCCACAAAAGTTTTACGAGTATCTTCACCTCTAAAACTCAAGAAAACATCATTCTTCCAATTTTGAGTGGGTGAAGAAGTAGAAGCCATTGTAGGTGAATGTGAAAGAAGTTTGCAGATGTAGGAAAGTTGTGTTCAGTTGCAATTTAAGGCACCATCTTCTTTATTATTGTTATAAGTCTTTGGTTGACTTATCAACACGGTTTAGCAAAGACTTGCTCACCATTCCAGTAATTCTTTAATTGACGAAAGTGTATCTGCTCCTTCCTTTATGTATATTTTATTCATTTTGTCAGTTCTTGGTAAATTCTACCAAAGTAACTTGAAACCACATTGTTCACTCCTCGCGAGTAGCACTTTGATTGGACACAAAATTTAAAAAAGAATTAAACATTTTTGAAACTGATGGTCTAAAATAATTCATACGTATTTATGTGGCCCTGTATCATCTCGTAAAATAAAAAACTTTAAAATAAAATTATTTCTAAATATAGAAAGTGTGCATTGAAACAAAATGTGAAATACAAAACAAGGGGAAAGTACAGAGTTTGCGTCTAATTTTGTTCTGAAACTGATTTTAAGAGCGTGGTCTCGCAATTAAAGTTATATATACACGGTAATGGTTTCAATTACGTTATAGCAAATTACTTATCATTTATTCCAATTAATGCTATTAAATAGAATATCTTCAATTACCTGATTGTGCAAATAGTCAGTGCATAGAACCTAATTTCTTTTTTCACTTTTTCTCGACCATTCAAGCTGAAGATAGTGAAGTTGGTGAAGCCCACCGGAGACTCGCCGGAATTTTTCCGGAGAAGTGATTGTAAGAGAGATTGAGCTCAAAGAGGTTCGAGATGTTTCTCTGTACGCCGCCGGAGAACAAATTTGCCGGTGATTTGTCCATATAGCTGGTTGCCGGAACCATAAAAGATTTGTCAAGTTCGAGATTTCCGGCTGAATTTGGCCGGAAAATCCACCTTTCTTTCAATCTCATTTCTTTCTTAAGGTTTCACTCTCTCAATTATCAAAATCCAACCAAATAAACGCTGAATCGATAATTTAGGATTTGAAATTTGGTACATTTGTTCCATTATATTAGTGAAATTATTTACCAGTAGGTAATTTTGATCCCCTGAGTTATATGCGTTATTTTATTTTTTGTGCTTCTGTTATTTATCGTATCACACTTTACCTTAAATTAAATCAAATTAAATTTTTTAACCCGGATAATCGATACTATTATGTCACAGTTATAACAATTAACAAGTAACAATACTTCAGATATAACAAGTAACAATACTTCTTTTGTGAGGTTTGAACATTACCACCTCATCCTATCCTACTCCAGGTCCGTTTGGTACGCGAGATAAGGTGGGATAAGGTAAGGTATTAAATTTATACCATATTTAGTTGATAGAATAAATTTATACCATCAACCAAACATGGAATAAATTTAAACTCAGACTTAATACTGGATATACCACCTTATCCCATCAAGCTTGGGATTATTTTACTCTATCTCTAAGAGAGGATAAAATAGTCCAGGAATTATAGTCCTAGGATTATTATCCCGAGATAAATTAGTCTGCTTACCAAACGACCCCTAAACGCTATCAATTCTCTTATCTTGGCATAATATTTGGCATCAAGTCTTCTTTGTCTCTTTTTTATAGAGTTAGAGACGATAAAAGAGATATTAACAAAAAAATTATAAACATACAACTTGAGAGACGTTTAAATATATCTTATATTTGAAAGAACACATAACCTTACTCTTTAGAGATGAAAAAAGAGTTTTAAATGATTTTCTCCACTTATTGCCCATTTGGTCAACCTTTTAAAATCGTTTTATTTTAAGGAAACGTTTTTGTAAAAAGAAATTTTTAGAGAAGTATTTTAGATAGGTACGTAATAATTAGTGTTTGACTGAATCATTTGAGATATGTTTCTTTATCAGTTTTAGAAACAGTTCTAGTGTCAATAACAGAAACATGATACATAAACTCAGTTTCATATAAGCATTGTTTAAATAAATAAATGCTTTTAAATACCTATTATGAAAGACTTTTATTATGTTATCAGATTTTCTTTCAATAAAGAGTACTGTTAAATGTAAGAGTGCACCATTAGCCACGTTTACGCATGTTTACAATATATTCACAATATCCAATGTATTTAAAGATCAAGCAAGTCACCCAAACTTCAAGATTAAGTATCCTAAATTTTTGTATTTCTATTTTGGAATTCACAACTTAGTATCCCAAATATTTGAACTGCTAATTAGAAATTCAGGATTAGGTCTCCTGAATTCTTAACTGTTAATTTAAACACAAAACTTATACTCAAACTCCTTTTCTCATCTCTTAAAATCCATGCTTTTCCCTCTTTATCACATACCTCGATCGCAGAATTAAATCAGCAGACACTAGAAAAGTCATCCCGGATCCCTAATGAGGCCAAATGTAGATAGCAAACAATTGAACTGTAAAACAAAGGATTAGAACTTGACCAAGTGGTTGACACAATTTTCCAGCAGTATGTCCCTCTGAGTTAATGTACGCAAAAGAAACATACACAAAGCACACATTGTTCGAGACTCACAAAGTTCCAGCAAAACATACTACAATTCCATATCAATAACAGTAACTAGGTTATGATTAAAAGAACAGCAAACAGATAAACGCAACGAAGTCATGAGAAAGCAGCACATTAAAGATCTAACTACAAGCCTCATAAACCAAGAGACGCCAAATGGCAAAAAACACCTATGTAGTATTTTCACAAACCCAGATAAAAACAGATAACAGCCAAAAAGATAATACCCCCTAATGGTAAATACTGCAAAGCTCATGGACCTGATCTACGCAATTCTTCTGCTCCATGTGCAAAGTGGCACCTTTCTCCAAAAGTGCACGACCCTTTAGCAAAGTTCTCACAAATTTTTGTTTTAAAGTTGCTTGTTGCAGTGGAGCTGGGATTCTTCATCAGGGGTGCCGCAGATTTTGCTGTAACGCTCTGAATAAGCTCACGAACCATTTGACTGGCTTGTCCAATCTGATCAATTGTACCTTCAAGTTCAATATTCCTCAAGTTAGGATCCGACTCATGATCCCTAATGGAAAATTTGACTCCAGTCACACGGCTTATTTGCTTTGAGTTGACACCACCCTTTCCAATAATAGGTCCGGCAAGAGAGGCATCTACACTGATCTTAGCAGTCGCAGAAGACCCAAAGCTGGCAGCTGCTCCAAAGCCTGCAGGAGTAGTCTCTGGTCGACTACCATACCTTCCATGAGTCTGGAACATACCACGGGACTCCTCATGCAATGGAGCCATTGGCTTGCCGAGCTCCCACTCACCATGGGCAAAATTACATTTGTCACCAAATTTGCAACCTTCAGCAGTGTTGAATTTGTTGCAGAGACGAGTCTTAACAGCTGGAGGAGATGATCCATCAGGGAAAGACAGTGGAGCTATTGAATTTCTAGAAGCTGCTGGAAGAGCTGGGTTGCTGCCAAGCAATTGAGTTACAGCTTTAAGGCCTCCAGGCACATAATGCAAGAAGTGGCATCCTTCCCCAAATGGGCATCCCGAAGTACTGCAGAAAAATCAAATTAATACATTAATTCAACTAGTAAGTTGGAAAAACAAAGTTGCCATCGTGAACCATTAGAGTCAAGCTTATCAGCAAGAAGATCAATAACAGCGAAAGCTTAAGTCATACAGCAGCTCCCAGTTTCTTCACATATCTTGAATATGGCTCGATCTTTTAATTTCTTGATTAAGGCGTTTGACAAGCAAAAACACTCTACAAAACCTCTTTGTTATCATAAAAGAACATGATATCCAACTAAAATCTCCAAAATTCAAACTCTGATACATTAAGAAACACAAAGAACACCACATTGCAGGACTCGTCTACGATGTTAACTGCACATTACTACTCAAAATTACGAGTCCCTAGAGCTCTTTTGCATGTCAATTTTTAAAATTGCCCAACACTTGCTTATCAAGAGGAAAGAAAGTTGATAGGAATCAAAAAAAGGGTAATTTCACATGAACCAAAAAGTGATCAAGCATGTCTTTTTACTAGACAAGAACCAATTAATTGTAAAGTAACATGCTCACATATTTCTTGAAATCCACACATTGCATATTCACTTCTGCACAAGATTTTGACAAGAAATACAAAATACTAAAATAAGCTGAGCACAAATCTTCTAGCTATTTGCCTAGCAATATCTCCAGAAAGATGATATCTCAAAATATCGTTAGTCACTTTCTCATGACATCGTTTAAGGACCGGTCAAACTTTAGCCTATTAAAAATATTTTACAGCTTGGGGTATCAGGGAGGCAGTGGAAGGTTGGAACAATTGGAAAGTTAACAGGCCCATCAAGAAAGTCAGGAAGATGATCCCAACAAGATTTTTTGGTGGCTTTGGCAAGGAAGGAATCGCAGATGGTTTGATGGCATTTCAACTCCTATCCATACTCTCAAAGCCAAATGCCTTGTGCACCTATTTAGTTGGAGCTCTCTAACCCCTGTAAATAATGTAGTTCCCCTCCTAGACTTCATTGGCTCGCTTACTCTAGCTTAGCCCAGTTATGTGTTTACTTTTGTTTTTGTGGTTAGCTCCCTGAGCAGAATAAGGTTTTTTGTTGTAAGGGAGCTAACTCATCTTTTTTGTAGCTTTGCATCTTCATGATGCCTGCAATGAAGAATCTTATTTCATCAAAATTATTTTACAGCTTAAAGGATGAAGAAAGGACAATTCTCATATCTAAATGCTCGAAAAGCTTAAGCTAAACCTAATATAAATCACCTCAACCCAAACAAAAAAAATTGGAGACAGAGTTTTTGTTTCCTTTGGAAACTTCTCTCAAATGGATAAGGATTTTTTCTTTTCATAAAAGTTAAAACAGACTTTACATTTTTATTTTTTTTGATAAGGTAAAGAATTTTATTAATGTTCAGTCCTCGGCGAAACACCGTATACAAGTAGTATACCAAGAAGTAGAGAAACCTACACCAAAATATGGTTCTCTACAAATGTTACCTACTCGTCTATACGATCAAGGACCTCATGGGTGCACCAAAAAGAAACTAGAAACAAGAGGCTGCCCCTCATCTGTGCAAACTCACTATCGACCCCTTCACACGTTGTCCCATTCCTCTTCTTCTACACAACAAACATCAGAGCTAATGGGGCTATATCACATGCCCTCGGCGAAACACCGTATACAAGTAGTCTACCAAGAAGTAGAGAAACCTACACCAAAATATGGTTCTCTACAAATGTTACCTACTCGTCTATACGAACAAGGACCTCATGGGTGCACCAAAAAGAAACTAGAAACAAGAGGCTGCCCCTCATCTGTGCAAACTCACTATCGACCCCTTCACATGTTGTCCTATTCCTCTTCTTCTACACAACAAACATCAGAGCTAATGGGGCTATATCACATGCCCTGGGTCTTCTCTTTCTCCTTTTGAAACTCCAGCTATGCAATGCCCCCTTTACTGAACTCAGCATAACCACGGTATTCCAAACCAATTCAGAACCTCCCACCAGACTTTACAGTTAAAAGACCATCAACATACAATGGCAGCTAAAATTAGAAACTAATCATCTTCGTATAACGATCAACATCCTCAGGCAGCCAAAAAATCAGAACGTAAATCATCTTGGTATAAATTAAATGGCTCAGGTGTCCCTTGCATAAGAAAAGAAAACACTTTGCAACAAGAAGCATTGAAATTTTCTCACTAACATCTCATCTCCTTGAAGATCCTCCGTTCATATCACCTCAAAGGAAAATGAGACTTAAGAGCCAACATCCAAAATTTATTCCTTGAGACAAATCTCTACCCATGAACCAAAAGCAACAGTGATTCATTGACACCAGTACAGCAAAATGCCAATCATCACGTATATGGTCTTTTTCCACCACTATCACATAAATGTCGCACCTTCACACAGTATCTATGAATGCGTCCTCATTCCAAGTCTCCAGTAAATGTATTACTACATGAAATAACCATACAGATTTTATAAACTATAGTAATAGTCTGTGAGTGTAGCAAGAGAAATGTAATCTCCGGTGCGTTGAGCGATCATGACCACAATTTCAGAATGGAATAGAACAGCAAAGCAGATGTATACTACTTTTGTAACCATAAGCTGGTTTACAAATTTCCAGGAAGATGTTACCCTTAATGTTGCACTTTTCTCCACAAATCCACATCTAAGTATCAGAGATCAACACAGATCATACTGATTATTTGTCCAGCTAACTAAAAACTTTCAACTTGGGAAAGACGATGTATAAACCTCGGATACAATGAAGTTAGTGTTTAAGATCTAAGAATTCCTCACACATAATTCATAACAATCTAATTCTCTCATACATATCACCAAACACTTCCTTTTATGATCATCCAAACCACTTCTTGTTATAGTTCCAACATTCATAAAGTATTCAGAAATGACAGAAGAATGTCAATTTCGTGTTACAAGCACAGCCTGTCCAATTCCACTCGACTTTTGGTTTAAACAACTGAACGACAAGGAAATTGAGATCAATGGTACAAACTCCAGTTGGAGGGGAAATTCCTCAAATAAGAACAGCATAGCAATTCTAAGACTACTCAATGGAGAAGGTTTCCCATTATGGTATCATGGTATGCTTTATGCACCAAGGAGGGGGGAATTGAATATCTTTTTTTAATAAGTAGAATGAGGAATTGAATATCGAAAACGTCATTTCATTCCCATTCTCAGAGTTACTACGCAATTTTAAATTAAATTTAAATACCAAAATTTTGAGTGCAATCATATCATATGTAATATAATAATCAGATGTTTAGTTTCATATTGTCCAAAATTGACTCTTCGGACTTGTCAGATTCTTTTTATTCGTTTTGTAAGTCACTTGTCAGATTCTCAGTAGCAAATTCCAGAATTGCACCACAAAAGATTACCTATTTTTCTTATCTATGCACAACCTGTTCAATAAAACAAGATACAGAGCTTATTGCTGTGAAGCAACCAAACATTTTATACACAATCAGCCGACTAGAAGAAACTGGTGACGTTTCTATCTTTTGAATACACCCATCAATTCTAAGGCATCTGAAGGGAATCACTTAACAAGTGTCATGAAAAGATAACTTATATGAAAAGAATAACGAAGTAACGGAAAAGAAGGCAGGGATTCTTATTTCAATAAAATGAAAACTGTATGCAAGCTTCTCTTCGGCGCACACTAGATATTTCTTCACTGCCTTTCGGTTGAAAGATCCTACTTCACCAACCCCCCGGCCCCAGAAAAAAAGGATCTAAAGTCAAGCGAAAATTTTATGTTAGCTTACAACACACCAGGCTGCTTCTTTCTATTCGACTTTTGGTCTAAATAACTGAATTGAAAGAAAATTAAGGTGGAAAAGTCTGCGTACAAACTTTAGTTGCAAGGTAAATTCTTCAAACAACAAAAATACCTGATAAGACTCGAAAGAAAAGGTTTTCCCAGATATCAATCATGGCATTATAATGCACCAAAAAGGGGATAAAAGAGGACTTGAAGATCTAAAATGCCATTTCACTACTTTCCCCAGCATTGCCACATAAGTGAATAAAGTTTAAAGACCAATTACGGTGTCATCATATCTAGCATCTACAGAGAGAAATGTCATAACCATCAAACATTCATTTTCAGAATACTACAATTGACTCTTCTTCGCAATTGTCAGAGTATCTCCAAGATCATCAAGTTTCAGTTAAAACAGAATCAGAGAAAACATGCTCAATGGCAAGATTTAAAACTGCACCTACCGATTTTTCTATTCCTAACAGTTCAACAAATACAAAGATACAAAGTGTATTGCTATGAAGCAACCAAACATCTTATACACATTCAGCCAACTAGAAAAAATGAGGTCCTTCCTATCTTTTGATGAAAGATATCAACCATGCACTTTACCTCTACGGACAACTTCAAGTTTGAATTTCCTACCCCTTCACAATTTACTGAATGAGAATAACAATCATCTAACCAGAAGAATTTGGTAATATTCTCCTTCCAAAAAATAATATGCATCTGGGATCTTTCTTATCAAATGACTGAAGGGAATTTCTCTGCACATAGCACAATTCACCAAAACAGCCACAGAAGAAATATATTGAAACGTGGTACCTGGTTCATGTCAAACATGTACTCTTCAATAGGCCCAAAACAAGGCACCAGTAAATTCTTCTCACAGTTTGGTGCCTGTAGCAGAGAAAAAGCCAGAGCTTATTACTTCTGTCTCAATTTAGTCACTGATAAAGTAGGGATACTTCTGAAGCTCTTTTAGACCACCCTCTAATCATACAAGTAAATCCAACTATTATATCCACTTTCATCTATGCTTTAACCAGCTCCATAGCAAAAGCAGAATCTCAAACTATCAATCAAAGTTCTGTTTTCAAGTTACCAGCTAAACTAACCAGTGTCCTACTTAAATCCACCCTAAACATCTTTTCAGATTTCTTGCGCCTTAAAACAAAGGCTTTAAGCTCATAAAATTGCTGCAAACTTGCAATCATAGCATATATGCAATATAACCAATTATGTATTACTTCATAAAACTCCACTAGTTATATGACTAGGTGTTATACTCTTCAATCTTCAGAAGCATCATGTGTAACAACCAACCTTTCCTGATTTAAACAGAAAATGGATCCCAGACCTCTGCATTATGACTTACTAATACAATGACAACTGGAAGTTTAGGGCTCTTTTCTATCTCTAAAGTCTAAACGAAGGCAATCATAACCCCTTTTTCCAACAGAGAAACAGCCACATAGGTAAAAGACCCTAGAATCAAATCAGACTAGTATTTGAGCTTTTGAAAGAATCTACGTAGGATGGTTGGTTGACTCTTACAGCAAAACAGGCTATGACAACTAAGCAAAATGAAAGTTGTTTTTCACCAGCGACAACTTCAACTACAACTGCTGCTCTGACCAACGGTGTTACATCCAAACATGCAGATAGAGATTTCACAGGTACTATTTTTAAAGCAACAATTTTTTTTGATAAAGAAGAGAGAACCGAAAAAAATTATCAGCAAATTACAACCTTTTTGATATGTAAGGTGAATTATCAGCAAGATTATATCAATGACACTCTTCTAATGATGCAGTGCATGCTACCATTAGAAAAAGGGCATCTATAATCCAACATGAATATAGCCTCCAACCAAAAATAGACATTTGACCAATAAAATCTTTGATAACTATTTTAACCTCGTGATCACATTACATGGCTTAACCATATAGATATGTCTGACGACTCTGACCTCACAATCTCTTGCACAATTAACTTTAGTGCCTCTTAATATAAACAGAGCAGCATCCTATCCTAATCTTAAAACATTTCTTCAGTCCACATGATTTCTTCTAGTAACTTGACTCATCAAGGAGAACTGAACATATGCGCCAAACCGTGTAGTTCGCCATCGTATATGACATAATTCTCGAATTAGGCATTATTATGTATACCAGCAAGATTATATCAATGGCACTTTTCTAAAACATTACAAATTTAGGAAAACTTCAGTTCATGCTACCATTTAAAAAAGGCCATCTGTGATCAAACATGACCATAGCCTCCAACCAAAAGTACACCTTTGACCAACAAAATATATGATAACTATTTTAACCTCATAATCTCATTTAAGGCTTAACCATATAAATACATCTGAAATCACGTTCATCCTGCACAATTAACTTAATGCCTCTTAACATAAACCATAGATCTCAAAAAACACAGAGCACCCCTTAATCCTTTCTTCAAACTTTTCTTCAGTCCACATGATTTTTTCTAGTAACTTGACTCATCAAGGAGCACTGAATATGCTCCAATCTTTGTACTAAGGCTATTTTTTTTTATGACCGAGAAATCCGTGATCCATCTAAGGAAAACCCTTTGGGCCAACAGCAGCCTTCAAAACTTGGGGATAATGGGCTCCTCCCTCTACCCTTCTCCACTTAAAAACCAGGCTTAGTTCGCATGGCGCAGGGCTCGAACATGTGACCTAAATCACAGATCCTTCAACCTTCGCCACTTGAACTAAACCCTTGGGGCTTCGGTATCTTTTTTTTTCTTGAAGTAATTGGTTTCATTGATAGCATCAAGAAGATGCAAAATAGTTACCTTGGGGCTTCGGTATCTTATATGACGTCTCGAGCTATGTGTTAATATGTATGTAGTGATCTCATCATTTTGAGTTCCTCTCCATCTCAAAAATAACTGATCAATAAAATAAAATAAAAGGAATGTCCTTTTGTGAATTTACACAAAAGGCCAAAAACTGAATGGTGCCTCATACTACCAATAGAGACATATCACGCCTCATCTTGTAGATAGAAATAGGTACATCAAAAGAATCAAGTTAACCAATGAATTTATTTATTTCCAACCAATAGGTAGGGATCGCATTACTTTGGATGGTATATCTTGGTGTCAAACAAATCTTATACAAGTTACAGTGAAACCAAAGAAAATGTTTGTTACCCCATCCATTCATAAAACTCTTTGAAGAAATAGTTCTCTTAACTAGTTAGCCAGAAACATTCCAATAGCCGGGATCCATTAAGCAATTGAGACCTAGTAGGCCAAGAGGAGAAGGTTTAGAACAAACAAAGTAGCATAATGGAGTGGGAAGGCAGCTAGCAGAAGTCACCTGAGACGCATGAACACTCTTGAAAAGGTTCAAGATTTTATCATTTTGGACATGCTTGAGACGCTTTTAACCAAACATGAAACATATTCTACAGGATGAAGTATACACTCTATCTCTTAGATTTGGTGATTCATGGAGTCTTTAAACACAATATTATATTTATATATATGTGTGTGTGCGCGCGCTTAAACATGTTTGCTTCACAAGATAAGTGATTCTTGAGATGCAGTAATTGGCTCGTAATTTACTTGAATGATCACAAAACACATGTTTTGTGCCCAACAGGTTATGTTCCCACCAAGTAAAATGACATGTAGTAAGGTCCATATTCGATTTTCCAGACATTGTGCTTTCTCCTTCTTTTTATTTCTTAGCCTTCATGCGTTGATCCTTAAAGTACAAATTGACTTTATAAAATCACCTCATGCAACAACATTTGCCTAATTCATCAATGAGACTAACCAATGCAAAATCTTCCCACATAACAGCTAGATCATCACAACCACCCAGAAGCCTATGCAGAAAGATTAGGTTCACGTCATACATTAGAGAATAGGAGAAGCCAAAAATACAACTTAGATTGCTTGAAAAGAGATTAGGCAAACTATAACTTAGATTGCTTGAAAAGACTTCTCATATCAAGATGCTTAGCTATTCTAAAAACTTTACCAATATAACACTCCCGGCCCACCCAAACCCTTGAAGTACCAACATATCAATTTGATTGCAAACTACAGAATTGTTCAATGTCAAGAAAAGTCACTTAGGAGGAGAGAACAGCCTAATAATCATATGAAAGACCAATTCATCTATCTGCCGCATCATCACAATGTTATTACCAGATTGACTCACCAAAGGTTCTCACAAAAATATATAGCTAAGTTTGCACTGCATTTACTTGCTAACATGATTGAGTGTAGCAGAGTCATTATACTGGCTTATTTAAAGGCAGCAGAAGTTTTCCTCCTGCTGATCAGCTTTTTTGATTATAAACTCTGAACAAGTTGCTAGTTCAACGTCATATCAAAATCATCGCATTTCCTTTCAACAACTGTTTTCAACTTAACTATTATCCCTGTAACATAACCTTGGATGACCAATCCATTAGTCCGAAAAGGATTTGAATAACTGGAATAACTACATAAATACCCTTGATTAAAATTTAAGAAGTTAGAAATATAATAAACTACACTTAAAGTACTTATTTTAGATGAGTTAAGATTGTAACCTGAAAAACTTTGTGCACGGCTTCAATTTGCTTCCTATACCAGTTGGAATTGACTCCAGTTCTGTTGCATAACATTAATCAATTGTTTTCCAGTTAAATTTGTGATATTATCCATCTATTTGAAAAACATCTATTATCACTCATTTACATGATCAGCAAAGTACAACTTTTTCAGATCAATATAAAACCAAGGAGAATGATGAAAACCATTACAAATTAAACTAAATCCTTAAGTTTGTCTCGTAAACTTTTAAAGTATAACCAGGTTTTATCTTTCTCCAGAAACAAGAACTTAGACTTTTTTGGTAAGTTCTTTTTTTAGACACAGAACAACTTGCACTTGAACTCTTCAAACTCTAATTCTTTTAGAGGTGAACATAGAATATATTGTTCACGGCAATTTACCAGGACAAACTTGGCCGACAAGAAAATTCAATGTCATATACAATGTACATATCATCTAACAGACCCTTTTTTTTTTTGGAGAATATCTACCAGACCCTTTTTTACAAATAACTTCCACAATTTTTTTGGAGAACTCCAGCAAAAATTTCTGAATACATAGAAGCAAATACTAAAACCTATCTTCTTGGAGGTATAAAAAAACAAAAGAGAAACGCAAGAAGGAATTAGGTTCTCCTCTCTTTCTCACAAGAAAACAAAAAAATTCAGCTCGATCGTGATAAACTATTTTACTACCATTTGTTTCAGATTTAACTTAGCAAATTTTATATGACAATTGTTCCCTCTACTGTAAACAATTTTTCTTTTTCTTTTTTAAAAAATTGTGGTGTTCGGGCCATCTTACATGCGTCTTGACTATTCCACCAGGTGCCTGACACCTCCCACCATAAATCACCTATTTTTTCTCCGTTGGAATTTGCACCCACTTCAGTGACCACTAAGCCACACCATGGGTGACTGCAAACGATTTTAACTATCATACTTTATAAGACACTCCCCCCTCGTGGGAATATACTGTTGTTGTATACTTTATAAGACACTCTTTCATCGCTAAAAAGTTAGACATTTAAAAAACTTTAAAAACTTAATTCATTTAACTATTCAAACTTTACACTTTGATGTAACTGTCTTTGCGACCACTACTTAGAAATTTTCAATCACCACAGCCATAAAATACATGAGTCGAAAACAACCCTATTAATCCACACCATTACTTGTTTCGGAATTAAAAAACACAAAATAAACGCAAATAGAGACAACGAGAAAAGGATAAAATGTCAACAAAAATTGATATATATTAAATTCCAAATAAAAGGGAGAAGTAAAATTAGCAAAACCCTAGATTGACAGCACGTATAGATAACAAGTAACGAAGCCAACAATATGCAAGTAAACAAAGATTAGAAAAAAAGAGAGGATGAAATGCAAAAGGTATTTAGCAAGAAAAAGAAAGATAATAAGTACCTTGCTTAGATTTCTTAAAAGTACCATTGCCATTAATAGGGCCATGTGGCCTTCCTCTTTTTCTATCACCTCCAAACTCCATTAATGAAGCAGCAGAAGTACTCGTAGTCGCAAAAGAAAAGGAGATCGAAACCCTAGATTTGCAGAGAAGAGAAGATTAAGGGTTGTGAGCATGAGTGAGAGAGAAAGAGAGGGAGGACTGTTTGTGTTGGGCGCGGATGTGGTAAAAGAGTGAGATTGATGCGGTTGATGTAACTTTCCAGAAAAATGTCGGAAAAATGGCGGAAAAAAAAAAAAAAAAATCACGTGCACCCTAAAAGGTCCTAATATAATCTGACATTTGTGATTTGTCGGATATGTACTATAGTAATTACACTATTTAAGTGTATATTTGCCCATTTTTTATTATTGATAGGTTAACATTATATTATTACCAAGAGTGTATCAACCAATTAATAGTTTAAGAATATAATTGAATCATTCATTTGTTTATGTGGCTCCAAATATGAGTCAAAATCAATAATATTGGGCGTTTCTTATTTATTTTTTGGCTTTCATGTATCAAAAGATAAATGAATGAAAAAAATGAAAAATTTAAGATAAATCGAAAGTTAGGGTAAATTTTAATAATTTTCTTGTCATAGATAAATTGATTGGAATTTTTTTTAAAAAAAAATTACAAGTGGCCCAACTTTTACGCCTACAACCAATGTCGGCTGAAACTACTTCAATTTATTTTTTTCATTTTGTTAAGTTTATTAATTATTAATTTTTTTAAAAATAATTATATTGTACTGCACTTTAGGGAAAATATTACTAGATGTAGCCCTATTTGAATTTCTTACCCACATTTAGCTGCCAGTCACTATTGAAGAATGTTAATAACTTGAAGCTTGAGCTCTTGAACTTGAATTTGATTTTTACTACCTGGAGTTGTTTGAGCGTTAATAAAACTTATTATACATAGTTAGAGAAAAACGCAACGAAATAGACAGATCAAATATATATTCGGTCATTATTCAAAGTCGTCATTATCGGTAACGGATTTTCTACCGGTGACTCTTCTAAGCACTCAAACTTCACTCTAGATGATATGGAGTTCAGAAGAAAATCTATGCTTAAGGACCTCAACCAGATCTACACTATTGATAGTGTTCTTCCATCAATAATATCTTGTAGCAGTTATAAAATGGGCAATAATTTCTGGGCAATTCAATACTCAACGATGACAGATTCATAATGAGGAGAAAATGTTTTAACTTGTCCAAATTAAACAGATCATTTTAAGCATTCATTACAGAATATTACTAACATTCTCCCATTTTGTCCATATAATTAACGCCCAAAGTATGCCTTAAGGAGAATCATAATACAACAATCATGGTGATAGTCCTCTAAGAGCTCTAAGAGGGAGTAGTATCTTTCATGTATCACAATGTATTATGCCTCTACAATGTAGCCCAAATTTCTTAAGGAATAATTCAATATTTATTTTAGGTCCATACTTTAGTGATATTTCTCAAAATTACTGAATAAATAACAAATATGAGAAATATCATACAAAATAAAGTTTCAATAATATTTGTTCTAACAACAAAAAATTTATATAGTGGAACCAAATCCCATTCTAACAACATAATCCTTAAATTTCTGTAGTAAAATATCTCTAGTTAAAGATAAGCTAAAATTAATTTAGTGTTAACGTATTCAATGACCACTTTCTTGTCTTTAACATATTCTCTTATGGCCATATACTTAATGTCGATGTGCTTGCTTCGACAATCACTTTTATTATTCTTAGCAAATAAAGACATCAAATAAATTATCACAATATATCCTCAAATGGCATAGAGATTGAGTCGACAATTCTAACCCAAAAATAAAACTCGTCAACCATACACCATGTGAGGTAGCCTCAAAATAAGAAACAAACTCAGCTTTCATAGTGGAAGTAGCAGTTAGAGTATGTTTAGCACTCCTCCAAGATATAGCTCCACCAGTCAACATAAAATTGTATCATGATATTGATTTGCATTAATCAATGCAGCCAGCAAAGTATGAATTAGAGTAGTCAATCACTTCTAATTATCTGATGGTTTGTACATAATCATGTAGTCTTTTGTCCCTTGAAGATATCTTAAGACTTTCCTTGTAGTTCTCCAATAGTCAATACTTAGATTACTCTGATATCTTTCCAATATTCCAATAACAAATGCAATATCAGGTCTAGTGCAAACCTGTGCATATATCAAGCTCCCAATAACAGAAGTATATGGAATGTTCTTCATTTGTTTCCTCTCAAATTCGTTCTTCGGGCATTGGTTCAAATTGAAACTGTCATTGTTGATATAGGTTTCTTGAGATAAAACCAAAATACCTTGATATTATCTCGATTAATCTTAATGCCAATGACATAATATGCATCACTCATATCGTTTATATCAAAATATTGAGAGAAAAATTATCTCCCCTCGTATGGCATTCCATTATCATTGACTACAAAAAGGATATCACCCCACATATAGAAATAGAAAATAAATTTTACTCCTATTGATCTTCTAATATATACATTGATTCATAATATTCTCAATAAAGCCTAATGCCACACCCTTTTTCTACCCCCTCCAAAAGATATGTGTGTTATGCTATGGATTTGTGGGTTAAAAAGTTTTTTTAATTAAAGTGAGAATTTTGAAATAGAGATTATTTTTGTTATTCAGAGTCGCCACTTGGAATTGATTTGTTGGTGTTCCAAGTCACCTTTTATTTGAATCCCTAGTCAAAGGAAGGTTTGACTATTTTATTATTGGTCTGCGAAAACAAAGTCCGGATAAGAAATTCTGTTGACCGGGGAGAAGGTGTAAGGCATTCCCCGAGTCCCGTGGTTCTAGCACTGTTGTTTTATTGACTTAAACTTGGCTTTAATTAATTACGAATAAACTGTGATTTATATGATTTTCATGTCTTACATATCTGCTTTTATGTCTTGATTATTAGAAAAATTAAAGAATATAATAAAATGTCATAATCACACTACGCAAGCGAATGCGTGATCGAGATAAAATTTATTAATTTTATCATAACAACGTTACGCAAGAGAATCCGCAGTTATGACAAAGATTATTAGTACATTATTACTTTTGAAAAAAAAAAGGTTACTACACTTAAAGAAATTACTAAGATATCAAGTATCGCGCTGCGCAAGCGAATCCGCAATTTTAGTAAAAGAATTAATTAAATTAGAAATTAATTAAACTAATGGGTATGATATGAGATTATTAAATTAATTTATTGAATGTTAAGCATCACGCTACGCAAGCGATTCTGTGAGTTAAAGCGCGCCTACTAATTGCCAAGCGTTTTAATTAATTATTAAGGAGTGATTAAATAATTCTAATTTATAAAGAAAAATTTTAATTAAAAAATAAAATATATAACATATGTATTATTTTAAAGGTTGGGCAAAACTCTTGTCTATTACTCCGGCTTGATTAGTTCAAACTTTCGTCGTCTAGTCGTTAACAAAAACATGAAATAAACGTAACTAATACAAGAGTGACATCAACCTAAACTATTTTCTTTTTTCTTTTTAAAAGAAAAGAATGAAGCCAAAGCTAATACATGGGACTAAGGATAAAATAATGCATTAAAAATATGAGTTCCTAAACATGTACCTAGGAAAACACATGTTTCGTTCTTAATAATGAATATTCAACACATTAATAACACAAAGGTATTCTTCCACTAGTTCTTTCCAACCTACCAGCATACTTAGTCACATATTTTCCCCTATTTCATCAACTTGCCATGAACATAAATATTACTAAGAGACATATTACTATTTGTTACCTTTTTAACACTAAGAGAGGAGTTAAAATGACTAGCATTAGATATATGAAACCAAGTCAAAAGAAACTAAACATCTACATATAAATATTTCTAGAAAATAAAATGTTTCTTTTCCTTAACTAGATACACTTCACAGAATGTTGTTTGAGCTACCTATGTGAAGAAAAATGGAAGATTAACCAAATATTACAGATGTACATGCTTTAAACATAAGTAACATGCTAAATATTCATTCATTCCAGTAAAGCACATCGAGCATATCCTATGAGCTGAAAGAGACCCATATTCTCATCCATTGAATATAAAAATATGCACTGCAAAATTTGAGAAATATCTGGATTGTAGAAAATAAATACACTAGTGAAAAAATGGAGTTCCACAGCGAAAAAAAAAACAGCAACAAACACAACAGAAAATAGCAGCAATTTCGTGTTTAAACAGCCCGAAAACCTTAGAGAAGAAACCCAGAACCAACTCTAAAGAAGACTTATATTTTTCTAAAAATTTGCACTCTAAAATTTACTCACCAAGCTCACTATTTCAGCTTACTAGAGGGTGCTTTAGTTGCTGAATTTTCACTCTCAAAATTGTATTTTTAGGGTGTAAAAACTGTCCAACAAATGTGTGATCGAGTGTCCTCCTCCTTGAAGGTGGTTTGGCTTATTGATATAGAAAATAAAAATAGGAGAGTCCGAAAAATCCGCGAAGCTACGGTCCAAGAAAATATTTTCTAGTTGCTCTATTTTCTCCTTCTCCTATTGCCTTTTTTCACTTTTCAAAATTCTTTCCCCTTCTTTCAACGTTCTTTTCCTTCTTTTTTTTCAAAAGACCCCCCTTTTCCTTATGTTGTCCCCCCTTCTTTCTCCTCCTTTTTTGACTTTTCTTTATTTTTCTTCTTTTTCAAAACCAAATCACTCATTTCTGTGTTGTTTTCCTCCTCTCTTTTTTATGAGTTCATTTAGTAAGAGAGAGTAGAAATGTCGTTATTTTGGGAATAATTGTATTGGTGATAAGGTATGTGCTAAATAATGTGAGGGAGTTGGCAAAAATTCAAGTATGGTAAAAAATTAGGTGCTCACAGCATGCTCTTCTTTGCTTGAAAAGATGAAGAGTTTTCACGCAAAGACAAGGTGAGACATGTGACTAATTCGTTATTTGGGAATAATTGTATTGGTGATAAGGTATGTGCTAAATAATGTGAGGGAGTTGACAAAAATTCAAGCATGATAAAAAATTAGGTGCTCACAACATGCCCCTCTTTGCTTGGAAAGATGAAGAGTTTTCACGCAAAGACAAGGTGAGCCATGTGACTAATTTTTTATCAAACCGTTATTCAAAAGGAAAAGAAATAAAAGATAGGGTGCAACCAAGTCCAGATTTTGGACGGCCT